TCATTACGGTGGCGGTTAATCCCAGGCCACAAAAAACAGCTCCCGGTCTTGCTGTGCCTTGCGAGGAGTGTAATACTGATATAGGGTGGGTTCACCGCCGAGGGGTTCCAATCGTTTGCCAGTGATCAGGTAGTATTGCTGCATGCGTCGTCGACGTCTTTGAACGTTCGAAGGGCATGTTTTTTTAGTTGGAGTTGGCATTGATGAAATCGATTCTCTGCATGCTTTTTTTCGTGTACTCGGCTTGCGCGGCTTGCAGTTGCTCTATGGCTAAATCGTGTCGTTTCCGTTTTGCTTAGATCTCGGCGGCATTGGATGTGCGTAAGTTGGAGAAGTGATAATTGCTCCCCAAAGGCAAGGGTATTCACTAATGTCCCGCCGATCATCATCGCGATCGTGGCCATGTATATATGTATACTTTTCTTACTTCAATATGTTTTCCGGAATGATGCCTTGCTTAACGAGCATCTCTTTGGTGGCCATCGCCAGTCCCAAGTCGAACACGAGCATGCCCATGTCTTGCAGGTTGAAATCGAGTTGTTGTTGTTGTGCTGGTTGTTTGGTGATCATTTTGCTCAAGCGAGCGTAGCCGATGGCTAGATCGCTGATCACGGCAGCGTGATGTGCATCGTTGACGAATGTTTTTCCGTCAGTGGTAGACATGATTATAACATAATGTGTGGGTTTACCTCTAATTTTTTTGTTATGGGTGGTGGTGTCGTCTTTTTGTTTTGTTGATACAGCCATACACCTGCAGTGATACCCACGACAGTGGCTGCCACGGCGTACAGAATCCATGGTGGGGTAGGAATCGATTTCTGATGCCTAGCTAATGCCCCTTTTTTACCGGCGGCTACTCTTTTCGGATCCCTTGGTTTCTTCGTGATGGTATCAATCGCTTGCTGAGGGGTTTCTTCGTCCACAGGTATCGAAGTGGGCTCCGACATCTTGTTTATCATTAATCGGGCATTTATGTTTAAATTGACAGTGCTTCATCGAAATGATGGCCGCGGTGATGGGAGCTAAGAACACACCGTATTGGTGATACAACTCACAACTGAGCGTGTTCAAGGCGTGACTGATAAACAGATCTTTGTTGAGATCTTTGCACAAGTAAGGTCGACGTTCCGGTGGAAGGGAAGCAGAGACGAAGTGATCACGGTGTAGAATTGCGTTAGAGTCGACCCTATGGTTTTCCTCATTTCAGCCGAATCTGGCTTCGTATCTCGTGTACAGTTTATCGATGTCTCCCTCAGACATTTTATCAATTTTATTGGTGGTGATGTTTCACTCAAGCATTGTTTCCCCTTCCTACCCACGACGAGGGCAACGAGTCTTTCACGCTTATCCCCGACATCTTCATCCCCCTTCTCCTCCTCGGATATCATTTGTTCAAGCATGTGGTCCAACTCCATCTTATAATACATCAATCAGGTTTTAATCTAATATAATGAAATGCGGCATAACCCAAACAGAACGAGATAATGTCAAGTAAAACAACATGTCAATTTCAACGTCATCATGGGTTTTGATATATAAAGGATACACATTTAATTTGCTAAGCATTGCTAAGCTATTTACTAAACATTGCTAAGCAGTTTGCTAAGCATTGCGAAGCTATTTATGAAGCATTGTTAAGCATTGCTAGAAGTTTGCTAAGCGTTGCTAAGCTATTGACTAAGCATTGCTAAGCTAGCACACCGTATAAACCACGGGTTAGTCTGTTTTCAATGGAGTTTGGCGTGTTGCGTTTGGGCTAACAAGGTTCTAACGCCTTCTCGCCGGGTTTGGTGGGGATGACGTTATCCCCTTAAACATTCCTCGAACAAGTCCTTGTCCTTGCAGTGAAACAGGGCGACCCATCCCGTCTGTTCACTGAGGTATTTCAGGACCTAGTTGAATAGGTCAGCACCCAAATGCTGTCATATGACGTCCCCAAAACCCTAAATATGATAGCATGTCTCTCTTTTTGGTGATTTCTTTATTCGCGCCGCAATCGTCTAGGATAAACAGCGTCAATTCTACCTCGAACTTCTCTTGTAAGTCTCGCAACCAGTCCTGTAAACGTACTCCCGTGCCAATTTTATACACCGCAGCATCGTTCATCACCCATGCTCTCTCCGTGTACGTTTTATTGACGCGTATTGTAGGGCAAAGAATCAAGCTATGATCTAACACCTCCCGATAGTACCCTTCCAGCAGGTCCAATACAAAAACGGTCTTCCCACATCCCGTATGACCGCACACGATGGCACAGTGTGGCTCTAGATGCAGATCAATAGAGGGCTTGCACGAATCTTCCATTGTCTATATTAAGCTGCGCATCCATAATGACGTACAAATATAGGTTTAATTTACCCTCGGTTTGAGCTTTTTGGGTGATTTGGATGGTCATCCCCTCACTGCCGTTGTCTTTGCGACGTCCACACCTGTGTGGTCGATTGTCATCCGTGGATTACTTGTTCAACCACAGCATGTACTTGGTCGTTAGGTATTGCCCAAGCGTGACGTAAGCGAGACCGAGTACCTTCGCAATTGCATTGATTTGGCTGAAGAGCTGGTTGGGCATGCCCTCGACAGTCACTTCCACTTTGATAATCTTGGGGTTCCAATATTTTTCGTTGCCTCTTCCAAACGGCAGAAATTCTTCCACCGGCAGGATCAAAATGCCCTTCATCGATCGCGCGGGCACAGTCATATTGATATTCCACAATGTGTCTCTCTTGTTCACGACGATCTTCCGGTGTCGCAGTACGCGATCGTACAGGATGGCTGCGTCCCCGAATACTGGTTGCGAATTTGTCGAGCCAAGTCCGGATTCGTGACCTTGTCGAACTCCAACGAAATATTGTTGATGGTGTAGCTGCCTCCCTCGCCGCTCTCCATAACAATTACCTGGCTATAAGCGTTGAACATCAGTTCGTTTTCAAGCCTATCACCCAGAGTGTCTTGGTAAAATGGCATGTGCCCCTCCAGTAACTCGAAGTCGAGCGGGGATGCAACATCGGTTCCCGAATGCCTTGGCGACGGCCTCGTGTTTATTCACCATCGCAGCAAGTTCGGCCTGTTCGAAACAGTACCCCACCACGTTAGCTGAACAGCTTAAAATGTTATTCAGAGAACAAGGGGGTTACCATTGCCAGCATTCTAAAGGCTTTGGGTTTCATCGTATCGACCCTGGTCCTAGCGCTGACAGGTGGCAGTGGAAGCAAACCACCAAGCCCAACACCACCACCCAAGAAAGATGGCGACGTCAGAGACCGGTTAAAAAAACAGTTGAAATCGCCCGGGGAAGCCCTGGCGAGACTGGCCGTCAAAGTCGCCGAAGCCCTGCCCGGCATTTTGGGCAGCATCGTGTCCTGGTTGCTGGGCTCATTGTCAAAAACAGTCACGTGGCTCGGCCAGAACCTGTGGGCGGTCGCCGCTAAAGAATTGGGAGCATCACGATCCCCGTTTCGCCGGTATGCATGGGCGGTGGGACACAACTCACGTTGACATCGGGGTTGACGCCCAACTTTTGATCGGCGGTTGCGATGACGATTTCGTTGTTGTAGCCCACCACTTTTGGGATCCTCCGTCGCATGTCGTTCGAAGGCATGTACAGTCCCACGCAGAACACGTAGTCGACTTTCGACCAGGCGTATTATCCACCGGTCTGGCAATGGCGTCCTCGACGTTCGACACAAAGTGTTTCTGCGCATCTTAGGCCGTCCCTTGACCCACGATGTCGGAACGGGTTTGCGACGGAGCGCCCGACACTTACGTCCGAATCAAATCGTTCAGTCTGACAACACTGGGATGCGTAAACCCCTTCGATGTATCCAACATATATACTTTCCAATCGTCTTCAGCATATTGAGGCTGCTCCACCTTTTGAAGGGTGAAAGCAACACCGCCTTTAAACAATCGTATGGATTGTTCGATGCATCCGACGCCTTGTCCTGTGGCATCGGGGCGCTGATCTCTTTGAGGATGCGTCTGATCTGGTAATACACGTGAAAATAAAACACGGACTGACTCAGCGCATCCCGACACATGTCGTTCAAGGTGACATAGCACCCCGTCGTTGCGCACATGGCGAAATTGAATTGATTCTGCCAGAACTGCCTTTACGTTCGTGACCGAAAGCCTATACTTTTCAAATACATCACAACTGCTTCAACTTCTGCTTCAACTTTAACTCCCAGATCTATTCCATGTAAATCGGTTGCTTGCCAGACTGAATACACTTGGGCAAAATCCTCTGCTCCAACTTTGATATCTGCTGCAGTACATGCAAAACCTACACAAACATCCAGTTCACAAACATCAAATCAGTCCACAACATCCAGCGATAAGGATTCGTCCTCATCTCACACAAAAACATCATCTCCAAAATCAAAATCAGACAACAATGAGAAACAAATTGAAAAAATCAAATCCAGATCTAGAGCTGAAACAATTAAAAAGAATCAAAGTGGTAGAACCCCGAAAGGGGCTAATAATCCGGTCCAACTATTTAACAAGTTTGGATCACTCGAGGACATGGATGTGTCCGACCAGAACCATGGTAGGACACATAGCTTGTCACCTTCGAGGAAAGTAAGGGGTCGATCTCCTGTTAATCCCCCGAAGAGATAGTTTCTTCACCTCTCATACAGTGGAACTGTAGAGGACTCAGGACGAATTTGAATGATTTACATCTTTTAGTCCAAGATTTTAAACCGTCAGTATTCTGCTTACAAGAGACATATCTAAAGCAGACTGATCATTTTGACTTACGTCAGTATAATGCATATCATTGTTTTTCTCCTCTGGGCGATAGAGCCACTGGAGGATCTTCAATCATTGTTCGGAATGATGTAATCCACAGCCCGGTTGTACTTAAAGGGGCACTGATGCGAAGTGATTTTTGCTCCGAGCTAACGTGTTAATTGTCGTGTTCGGCTGCCGCGCGGGCAGTGCTTGCTCTCTAGACCGTGACAAACACCGGGACTGGGCAGCTGACCACCACACACAGGTATTCGTATTAGTTCACCTAAACGTCGAAAAGCATTATTTATGTCACTTATCTTCATGCCAATTGAAAATTAGAAATTCGATGACACTAATAATTTCATAATGATATTCATCATATATATTCTCTTTTCTGTTTATACTGTGAAATATAGTTGTTTAACCAAACATAAATATTTGTTTTGCCAAAAGGTTCTTGCAAAATGTGATTGCTACAACATTCCACTTGCTGATAATCACTAGATTACCTGTTTGACGATACACACTTTCTGGTGGAAGGAAGCGTGTTATTATTTTAACTTTCTAACAAATGTAATTGCAGGATATGGATGGTGACATCAACCACACCCCTCCTCAACACAACCCCACCAAGAAGAGAAAGAGGAAGACTGCAGATGGTAGCCGGGTGCGAAGAAGGCTCAATGTCGACCAGGTTCCAGTGGAGGTAATATTTATTTAGATGAATGTTCATGCTCGCATATATGCCACTTAAATATTAATTAGTAATATCTATGTGTATTTATAAAATCATAATCCTTTGTACTGCAATATCTGGATAACTAAGAAATGGTATTTTTCGTATTTTCACAGGCTGACAGCACAGATGACCTGGAAGCTGCATCGACAACATGCATCAATGACCTGGAAGCTGCACCGACAACAAACACAAGCTCATCATCCTGTCCACCAAAAGGCCCATCAGCACACCATAAGGCAGTCAAGGTACCTTTTTTTCAACAATGAATATGAAGTATTGTTCGTTCATCTAAATGGATTCTGGATTGTTATTTCCAATTAGTATTTTGTACATATTCCAGATAAAATGTCAAATCTTTCCAAGTAGAAGTACAATTATTTTATATGTGTTTGCACTTCACAGAAAATTTAGATGTCACATTGCTATAGCACACGATTTATAACATTTACACATACTTCTCTTCTTCATTTTCTATTTCATATTCGTGATCATATGCAATGGCATCTAAAAAGGCAAATATATTTTGTGGCCTTTAATTTAATATTCCTTAATATTTTTTCCTGAAAATATTGAAAGTATGGCTTTATATTGTTTAAAATCAATTCATATGATGTATATTTCAAAATAAGAAAAAAACACATTGGTGGATTATTGCAATTGGTTTTGCCTTACCAAAAGAAAAAAATATTTTCATGAGAGAGGTTGATATTGCCTTCGGATATAATGTTCAGCCAACAAGACACCTCCCTGTTCACAGTATATGGACATTCACATATTTACATGTATTACTGTATCAAGTGTTGGTTCATGAAAATTTTGAGTGATCATAAAATCCAACCATCTTAACTGTATGCTCAAAATCAGTTGTTTGGTATAATTTTGCTTGTCTCTAATTCTATATCTCTATTCCAGGATTTTGCGGCTTCATTAGATGTGACAGAGCTCAGGAGTATAGTGACTGAACTTTTATTTCGGGACCAGGGGGCTTTTGACGACTTCCGCCTGGGATACAGGCCCTGTGATGATCCACCAAGGCAGCCCCAACCAGACAACACACCAAGCTGGTGCAGATGTGGCAATTGTAGAAGCATGCCAACAGCGCAAGAAGAGAAGTGCTGCTGGCAGACTGGCTCCTACGAGTGTGTTGTGGATGGACCAAACTTTTATACGGTGATCTCCCCAGCGGTGCTAGACATTGCAATGGCACATTATAACGACTTCTTTGTACATGACCAAGAGCGAAGTAATGCAGCATACAGACACCAGGCGTACAGACAGTTTATCCTACAACGGTATGGTCGACTGGGTCATGGCAATAGACGTGTTGTGCCATCATGCGTTGTACTAGCAATCCGGAGGAGATTTCCAGATCCCACAGGCAGCTACACCGGCTACAAGGAAGCCTAACAAGCCAGTACATTATGTTTTGTATATATTTTGTATATATTTGTACATATTTTGTAAATATATTGTAAATATGTTGTACATATCTGTATATATTTGCCACATGAATTGATTCTTAAATATAATATTTGTTGAAAGTTGCTGATTTGTTTCTTTGTTTGGCATGAAAACCAATTGTTGAAACCAGCTCATGATATCTTACCAAACCATAAATACAAATAACTGGAGCTGTTGTCTTGACTGACAATTAACAGAATGTGACACACCTGTGTGTATTCATGTTGCACATACCTCATGAGTAATTACAGAGAAAAAGGATGTAAACTCATAAATCACACTTGGGCGCACCTTTGTAAATTCATTAGGTATGTTACATAAACCATGTCACTTTTATGGGTGTACTGTCAAAACAAACATGTAACGAGTTAGACTGATACACATACCACCACTTGAAATCTCAAATCTTCACACATGTGTATTCATTAGGTACGACACTTTTATGGGTGTACTGCCAAAACATGTACATGACAACAGTAAATAAACAAACAAGAGTACACTTATTGGTCTCAGTAGCGATTCAAACTTTATTACATAGAAACACTTAGACAAGGGGATGAAAATGTGGTCATCCTGTTTCCTTCTGTACACACCTCTACACCCATGACTACAGAAAACAGTACAATACTACAGAACAAATGTTTTACCAGTTTTTCTGTGTTTGACACATTCTTTGTACACAATTATTACATCTCCTTCCCTTGTGCTTGTATATACATATTTAGATATGTGGTTTCCTGTACACCAGTATAAATATACTGTACTGACGAAGGGGCAAGAAGCAGCCCAGAACATTTACTTGTGGGAAAGTTGTTATCCATTTGTCTTACTATGACACATACTATGTGATTTGGAGAGAAATATTAGGTAGACAACTTGAATGTATGGATAATGCCCAATTGATGTAGACAAAATGTAAATTTGAATACTTCCAATATCTGATTTGTCAGAATAATTTAACAACCAATGCTTATTTACATACGAAAAGAATCACTATTATGTACATTTTTCAAACAAACATTAGAGTCTGTATGGCACCTACTGTTTGAACGCAGTCGAAGATCTAAAAAAATAAGAACCTTCTTGTCTCATTGTAAAGAGGAAAATTTCAAAAGTGAGATAAAAAGATACTACAAATTACGTAAATACATGGTGACAAAGCTAATTGTTGTACATTTTGGTCATCTCTGTGTGCTCTCCAAACTCAATAATATGTAGTATGCGAAGATTGGGTTACCTAGACCCTTTGTGGTCCCACGAGGAAAAACTAAATGATGGTGTACTATTGTTACTTGTAGCATCTGTTAAAATATGTACCTTTTGGAAATTAAAACATAATACAAAAACAAATATATAACAAAAAACACTCTGGACAACCGTTATACACAAGGTGGATGGACCTACGACAATTGTTAATGACTGTAAATATGACTGTCTGGGTGTGGAACTGGATGCAGTTCAGCTCCTCACTTCTTGAATCGTGTGACACACTGACTCACAAGCTCTGCGATTGGGGGACAGGGTCTCTTTGCAATTGTTGACGATATACGTCTCGGATCATCATCGGTCATTGGTGTTTTTCTTTTCAGACCTCCAGTCTCCTCGTTTTGTCGTTTCTGGAAAGCCAACATTTGTAGGTCCCATCTGTAGGAATAGTTCTTCTCTACTTTGGCAGTCTTTGGTCTCCAGCGCTGGGTCCTCTTACTGTACACACCTGTGTATCTGCAATGAAATAATAACAAAAGTAAGGCAATATGTTGGCCCAGTTGGTCAATGTGTAACATATTTCATAACAAAAACTAGGTGCCCTCTGCACACCTGATAGGGAGAAAGACTGCCCTGTCTTATATGAACATATAAATCAGTTAGTCTGCTACGTAGTCTTATTATCATGCTTACATTGTTTCTCCGTCACTCGTTCTCTGATCCGGTCGATGCAGATGGTGGTTGTGATCAATTGCTGCCAATTGGTTCCTTGCACGGTAGCCCGTAAACCTGAAAGATAGTTTAGATAGTGAGATACATGTATAACAAGTGTAGAAGTGATCACAGCTTACATACTACAGCTTCCCAAGTGGGTAAATAGAAACGACAAATATGATATATATTGTGACAAGGAGCAGCAGCAAGACTTTCCCCTAGATTCCACTATGACTTTGAAAACATGTTTGGTAATAGTTTTGCATTACAGTAATAATTAACGGAAACATTATTGCTCTCTTTTTTTCCATGGAACCTGACATACGACTGAACTTGACTGTCTCATGTTGCAAAAGGTGAACCTAACATGTAAACGTAAGAGATATACCCTGGACAAAGTTTCCTGAGAGAAGGATGGTACAGCTGTAAGGACAGTTTCAACTATATTTACCTCTGCTGCTTCGTAGCGGGCTATAATAAGATCCTATATGACATGGCCATCAAGAATTCTGTATGTTATTTGAGGCTACTGAAATATATATTTACAATAAAACATTAAACAATGCCTCATTATTCAATAAAAACAAAGTAAAGACCTGATGTACTTACTGGTAAGAGTGACGCTTTGGAGAGTACATCAAGATATGGCTGTTGAATGATTCCAGAGCACCGGTATGTCTGAAACATGAGAGCATTCAGCTGACATAATGCTATCTTGTAATGTGAATAGTACTAAACTAGACTGTAATTTCTAAAATTTTAGTGAGGGCATTGACGCTGAGAAACACATGCAGACTGGGAGGTCTCAGTGTCAATTTCAGGTTTACCTGAATTTGCGGAAGTAGTGGAACTTCCCCAGGAACTTTGGATCTGCGACGACTTGTCGTAGGGTATCCATTTCAGGACTCTTTTTGTCCAACCATGGCCGTCCGGTATCTTCAGTCTGCTCAATAGGACCATGCATGCACTTGCCTTCTGTGTGCCCTGCAATGTGCCATTCATGAATGTTGCACACATGGGAAAGGACTCTAATCCAGATTTCCTGTGGACATGAAGCAATTATTTCATGGATTAATATGTAATATTGTGACCCATGAATTTATTTTTTATGAAAATGTACCAGAGAATATATTACACCTGTAATTAATATATTTTTACCTTCATTTTGATGGTGTGTCCTTCGCAGGCCTGTGCACTCCACCAGAAGTGGTTCTTGATGGGTGCAATCCATTGCCTCAGCACCGAATTCGGTTTGCAACACTGAAATACAAATAAAAAATATAAGCAGGAGACAAGCTTTGTGTTCAAGATTGTATTATTGTAAACTAGACATTCCCATAGTCTCAGTTTGCTAGTAAAAGTAATAGAATGTAAGCCACTCACAGCAATTAGACGTTTTCCAGGTTCTTGGCTACATGCCAAATGTCGTACTACTGGTCAATGGCCTGGTATTCTGGGGTGATTCCTGAAAACGGAAAATACAGGAATATTAAAGGAATTCTCTCAATCAGTGCCATTAGGTACCAGAAAATATTTTAGGTGTGTCTTTGTGAAAATAGGCTTTCCCCACACCTACTCACGAATGTTCTCCACAACAGTTATAACAATTCAAATTACAGTAATCAGTTTTACATGTTGCCATTTAATACACAACAATCATTCAGTACTCCTCTTTCTTTGAAATTGGAACATAATAGTCTGTCTAATACTTACTCATGAGTTTGGTTATCATTGAACTCTGATCAGTGACAACTTCAGTGACCTTCACCTTCGAAATGAGGAAGTCGAGTCCATGTCTGAATGCCACCTTCTCCATTGCCACACTGGATGTGGACTGACGAACGTCTACTACTTCGAGGTGTAATATTGCATCTGTGTCCATATCCGAAAAGGAATAAGTGCAGAACTGGGCAGAATGACCAGGGGAATCATTCCTACCATCACCCGCAACACGGACATCCAATTGTTGCCGAACCTTCTCTGAAAGGAGCTGTGTCTGCATTGCGTTCCAGAACATGTCCACTGCTGGTGCTGCATACAGTCTTTGGACCTGAAATGTAAGCATAGTATGTGATTCATATGAATTTTGCACGCTCAGAAAAAAAGAATTCTAATGGTTTCATTGCTTAAAAATGTAAACTCACATGTCTTTTTATAATTGTTCTTGTGGGGGTTGGGGTCCCTTATTCATATATAATAAATTGTCAAAAATAAAATACTTTTGAGTATTTCCAAAGATAATTTTTCTGGTGATTTTCAACCAAATTTATTTCCTCCTGCCTGTAGGTTTTCAGAGTAAAAAAAAATAAAACAGAGTTTTGGTCTAAATATAAAATACAAGTTGAGGACTTATTTTCTCAACAAATAATACCTGGTAGAAAGCTGGCTCGCTAATACATCCAAGGTTTAGGAACTTGGTTAGAAGGCCTATCTTCTTGTATGAGTTGCCACTGAAGAGGATACTGGTTGCCAGCTGGAGATTACCACAAAACATCCTTTTCATTCTTGGCTGAGAGGCCCAGGATCCACATGAATGACCCGAAGTACATTTCCATCTTATGACTAAAGCTGTGCCGTGGGTCTTGTCTGTGAAAGTTAGCGGTGAATCGCAATGTGGTCTTGTACAAGTGTCACCAGCTTTCTCTTTCACTAAATCCATGACAGGGTCCAGATAACAAATGAACTTCCGCGAGGAGACAAGGTGAAGTAGTGGCTCTGATGTTTCTTCCTCCTCCTCTTCCTCCTCTTCCTCCTCCTCTGGCAGTGGCATGTTCAGAAGATCTTCTTCAACTGCTGACGTGTCCAAGTCTTCTCAAAGGTAGCCCTGAAAAGAGATATGACAATTTCATTTGCAAATTTATAGGGAGAGAACCTTGTCTTTCAGTTAATGATTTTCTGTCACACCATGCTGGCCTATACTGACGGCATGCAAGAGATGAGCCCTGTCTTGTTACAATTCAGACTCAGATATGGAATCGGGGAAACTTGTTGCAACAAAATATATACCACTAAGTATCTTGACTATGGGTATGTCTCAGGGACAGTATGTTATGATTTACTGGGCAGTGATGCAGTGAGACCAGCATAATACCTCTGAGTGTCTGGTTATTTTCTAGAAATTCTAACGAAGACAACATCTGTACATACCTTGCATCGCTGACATTAGGGTCATATTCCTCATCAGCTCCCAATTTCATCCACCAATTCTTCTTGTCCTCTGCTGAGGCTGAAACTATTTAAGGCAATCAACTGATGTAACTCATTACCAAACTAACAAAACAGAAACATATAATATTTAAATGCCATGAAATATGGAGTACTTCACTACAGTTATGGAACTGTACATCTGTATTCTGTCTTACTGGCATACATTCATGAGACTATAAAAGTAGCAGTAGTTTGTTTCACCATTAGAGAAACAGAGAGACGATTAAAGTATAGTTTCTGCAGTTATTATTTCTAATTCAATGTAATAAATCCAAAAGAACCTTGGTTGTGGCGTTTCACACGGTGCCTGGTCTGGAACTTCTGGAGAATCTTGTAAACTTGCTGCCAAGGTTGACAAACTGTCACAATGCTCACTGGCAACCACACAGTTATCTATAACCAAAAAACCAGCAGAGTACACTAATAAGTCATGTCTATACAGGGATATAAAGCAAGTGCATAAATCTACAATCAGGTTTTGTAACAGCTTTGGGGTATGTAAAAGGAGAAAGAATTATATAATGTGGACAAATGTAAAACAATGAGAAACTTTTCTTCTAAAAATATCAAACGCTAATGTCACATGTGGACATGTCAATACAAAATAGCAACAACAATGTAATTGTAGCCATTAGATAGGAACACAGATTAGGAAGAATCACATATGCTTTTCAAAACAGTGCCACTATTTCCTTTCAAGTCAGAACAATACAATTTTGGGATCACGAAAATGCAATAATTATATATAAAAACACTAGAAAGCTAGTCAATTTGGACAGGCTTACTGACAATACAACAATTAGATTTCTAAACAAACAGCCACATTGACCCTTTCACCTGGTAATGGGGAAGCTTGGAGACGTATAAACACAGTCGTACTTATGTAAACATGTCAGTTTTGTTATTGTAACTCTTGTGCAACATAAGATGAAAATAACAAACAATTTCATGAGGCACTTTCTATGCTATCACTTAACCAAGAAATAATTTTTCAATATACACACCGATTGTACCACATATAACATTATAAAGACAAACATTTACGTACCAACTCGAAATGTTCCGGAGTGTCAACTTGATCACAAACTGGAGTACTGAAATCAGGTCCAGGCGTGATAGGAAGCGGCGGTGTTCCCGATGTTGATATCGACCAAGTCAGTTCATGATGATCAGTATCCCTTGTTTGAACGCTGAATAAATGTCATAGTACGAATAAGAAAACAAAAAAGAATAAAATCAGGACAATGCGATCAGGTATAGAGAAGGCGTCTACTTCGTTCACAATTTCACACACGGTAAATCCAACCGTGATCAAGTTAGCGCATAAAGTAAATAACAAATCTACACAACATTTATCAACTCTTACGTGATCAAAAGTAGAAAAAACTTACTTGCTGCAGTCGCAGAATTGGTCGTGAACATCGAGCAGATGTTTGATGACATCGCTCTTGCTTGACTCCGTGTTTTCCCTCAAGCTGTTGAATCTGTCAAAGTGCACTCCTAAACAGATTCGAGACTGGTTCCTCCTCTTTCTTTCTTCCTGTATTCTTCGTTTCTTTGCCGATTCTGTCGTACGTCCTCGACCCATAGCCAGAGCAAAAGTAAATCCATTTCGCCGGGTGACAGGCTTTCTTTTATAAATAAGCCGGGAGTGATCACGCCAAGTAGCGCTGCTAGTTACCCCCGCTAGGTGGCGCTGCTCTATTTACGAAATAAGTGCGTTCACGAGTGGCGCAGCAGAGGTCACAATCCAGTCAAGAATTCTGGGATATCATCCGGGCACTCGCGGGAGGAAAACAATAACAAAGGGAACAACCCGTCCACGCAAAGTGCTACGCATCAGTGCCCCTTTAAAACCAGACTCCAGGCCGTTGCAGTAAGACTCACTTTGCATGTTGCAGTTACTCTGTGCTCTCTGTACATTTCGCCTTCATCATCTGTTCAGCAGGTTGATCTTCTGGCTCTGTATGATGAACTCCCTAAACCTTGTCTAATCATGGGCGATTTAAATGGGCACAATCCGCTCTGGGGCAGCACTAATACAAACACCAAAGGTAAATTACTGGAGGATTTCATTTCAAATAATGATTTATGCATTTACAATGACGGTTCAACTACGTATTTACATCCTGGCATAGGAACATATTCAGCTCTTGATTTATCTATTACTGACTCCAACCTATTGAGTGAATTCGAATGGTCAGTCCACGACGACCTTTGTGGAAGTGACCATTTCCCAACGATACTAACACCTGTGAATCCATCTGACGTTCCTCCATCATCGAGATGGAATTTTAAAAAGGCTAACTGGCCTTTATAGGAATTTTTCTGTGCTGACAGACTTAAGCCTGAACTTTTTTACTGATATTCCTGATGCCATACAATGTTTTTCAGATATACTAAATAACATAGCTGACGAGTGTATCCCAAAGTCCTCTGCAATTCCACACGTACGAAAACCATGGTTTACCAACGAATGCAAACAGGCAAGGAAGGCAAGGAAGAAAGCTGAGCATTATTTCCGTCGCCATCCTATGGTCCACAATTTAGACAAATTTAGAATTTTAAATGCTAAAGCACGACGTACTTTCAAGCAAAATAAACGCCACTCTTGGCGAAACTATGTCTCAAAAATCAGTTCGCGCACACCGATATCAAAGGTGTGGAATATGATCCAGAAAATAAAGGGTAAGGGCTCTAAATCTAGCATCCACCATCTAAAAAGATGGGAACACATTATTGACTAGTAAATCAGATATTGCAAATAAACTTGGTGAGACGTTGGCCAAACATTCTTCTTCAGCAAATTATGTACCTGAATTCCAAAAATATCAAAACAGCAAGAAAAGAAAGCTATAAATTTCAATTCAGATAACGGGAAGACTACAATGAAACCTTTTCGATACATGAGCTTCATACTGCTCTTGATCAGGCTCACGATACTGCTTCTGGAGCTGATAACATACATTATCAACTCCTGAAGCACTTGCCAGAAGTCATGTTTGGAGACACTGTTACATATTTTTGATGATATTTGGACAACTGGAAATTTCCTTGCGTCGTGGCGTGATGCTATAATTGTGCCCATCCTAAACCTGGACGTGATCATACTGATCCTCTAATTATAGACCAATTTCACTGACAAGCTGCGTTTGCAAAACCATGGAACGTATGATCAACAATAGACTTGTTTGGTACTTGGAAACCAATAACCTTATAACTAATATACAATGTGGTTTCCGTAAAACCGTAGTACCATCGATCATTTAGTACGTTTAGAGTCTTTGTAAAAATGCCATAATTAATAAACAACATGCAGTGTCGATCTTTTTCGACTTAGAAAAAGCATACGACACGACATGGAAACATGGGATTTTAAAAGATTTACATGATTTTTGGATTACGAGGCCGTTTGCCTCAATTTATATCCAACTTTTAAATGACCGGCAATTTCAAGTCCGAGTGGGTTCAACCCTCTCTGACCATTACAATCAGGATCAGGGTGTCCCGCAAGGCAGTATTTTGTCTGTCACCCTGTTTAGTATCAAGATAAACAGTTTATCCAAGGTTTTAAACGATTCAATTGATGGATCACTTTTTGTGGATGATTTTAATATTTCTTGTCGTGGTAAAAATATGCATACTATTGAACGGCAATTGCAGTTGTGTTTAAATAAGATAAATAAATGGTGTCTTGAAAACGGCTTTAAATTTTCCAAGTCCAAAACTAATTGTCTACACTTTTGTAGAAAATATAAGCCGCATAAAGATCCAGAATTATCTTTAAATGGCACTCCCATCAAAGTTGTTAAGGAGGCCAAATTCTTAGGTCTAATTTTCGACTCCCATTTAACCTTTTTGCCGCATATTAAATCACTTAAAGCCAAATGCCTGAAGGCACTCGATTTGTTGAAAGTTGTTTCCAACTCAAAGTGGGGAGGGGATCAAACTACCCTCCTTCACTTATACCGATTATTGGTACGTTCTAAACTTGATTATGGTTCGATCGTATATGGCGGAGCCTGTAAAAGCAACCTTAAACTACTTGATTCTGTTCACCACCAAGGTCTAAGACTCTGTCTTGGATCATTTAGAACCTCTCCAGTTGATAGTCTCTATGTTGAGGCAGATGAGCCTTCTCTTTCCCAACGCCGTATTAAATTATCTTTACAATATATTACCAAACTATATTCTAACGAGTCTAACCCTGCATTTAACTGTGTCTTCACTCCTCTTTATGAGGATTTGTATAACAAAAAGCCTTCTCTTGTTCCGCCTCTTGGGCACAGAATTAAACCATTCCTTTCTGCTTCTGGCATTGAGCTGGAGAATATTTCTCCTTCTCGTCTTCTTTCTTCCCCCTCCTTGGCAATTGGTGAGGCCAGAAGTTGACCTCACTCTGACAAGGTTTAAGAAATCTCAAGCTAATGACTTACAATATAAACAAGAATATAATCAATTAAAAAATAAATATAATACATACAAATCCTTGTTTACAGATGGGTCCAAGGATGGTGGCGCGGTGGCATGTGCCACTGTCATTGGATCCAGAACAATCTCCTCTCGTTTACCAGATAACAGCTCTATTTTTACAGCTGAAGCAAACGCCATATTAACAGCCTTAAAATATATTAAAAAAACACCCTAAATATCAACAATATATCATCTTTTCAGACTCTCTTTCTTGCCTTCAGGCTATTAAAAATATTTCTTGTAAACATCCACTTTTATTAGAAATTATTGAATTATATAATGAGCTTGCTACCGGCCAGTGCGACATCGTCTTTTGTTGGTTACCCAGCCATGTTGGCATTTCTGGGAACACAATGGCTGATCTTGCTGCCAAGGCAGCCCTCAACAAATCGGTGACACCACTTCTTATTCCATATTCTGATTATAAAGCTGGCATTAGAACTTACATCCGTGATCTTATGCAAAAGAAGTGGGATGCCCAAGTAGGTATCAATAAATTACATGCAATTAAACCAACCATCGGTTATACCTACTTGGGTTGCCAGTCCAGATTTCAAGAGGTCATTATGCGACGATGTCGCATTGGCCATACGCGTTATACTCATAAATACTTGCTAAAAGGTGAAGATCCTCCGTTTTGTATCCCTTGTGATGAGAGAGTTACGGTCAAGCATATCCTGCTTGACTGTGTTGAATTCTCCATCATAAGGGATAAGTATTTCAGTGTAAAAAACACTTAAGGATCTTTTTACCACTGTTAATTCTCATTTAGTTATTGGTTTTTTAAAAGAAATTGACTTCATTGATGAATTCTGATTAACATGTTCTGTAGATAGATGTATTTTAATGATTGGTAGTTTAGATTAGTAACTTAGATTGTTAGTGGCTGTACCCTCAAAGGGGGTTGAAGTAGCGTAAAATTATTGTCCTCCTGAGAGGGTATGTAAGTCCCAAAACTTCAAAAGTAGAATTTTCACATACCAAGTTTTTAAACGTAGTATTTTCGTTCATTTAGATTTTGGCTAAATTATCCTACAATCACCAGCGGTTGAAGGGATGGTGTATCCGACTAGGGTCCATGCAGGTAGCAAAGGTACTGTAAGTCCCCATGGACCCTAGTATGGTGACCTACTTTCAGTTGTTGGTGATCTATAGCCCATTTTTATATTGTGTTGTCCCCTGTGGTTAAAATGTTTTAGACTCTATTACTAGTTTTATCTGTATATGTGATATTGTAGTTGTTTTACTGCCCTTCGTTGGCAGTTTTTTTTATAATATACATATTTTTCACTTCAATATCAAATGTTCTCGTCACGATATGGCTGAAATATTGCCGATGTGACGTTAAATATTAACTCACTCACTCACTCAAATACATCAATAAATCGAGCTCGAAAGTGGGAACCCTCCTTCACATCCACCACGATCTTCATGTGTGTGCGATCGGTAGCACTTAAATTATCGATTTTAGGATAAAACACTCCCGGTGTATACTTGGGTGTAGAAAAATTGAATGTATATTATAATGTCTTGTATATGTGTAATATGTTCGTTACGCTCCCAGGAATCACGAGTGGCGAGCCCGTTCAACTGCTACACACAATCGATAACACGTCGGCACGACTCGAAGTTTCTCTCTGCGATCTCACCTACTACCCACGTTGGTCGAATATCAGTCAACATCAAGGGAACAACAGGCTATTCTTCGATGGCAAACGCCACGATTTGTCCAACGGTTATTACAGCGTTTGTATGTTTAACGACGAAATTTTCAAACCCATTGGAACCCATATCAAACTCAACGAATCGAATGGCACGCTCACGTTGACGGCTGGGGAAAAACCCATCCGACTCGGTAAAGCCTTGGCAAGAACGCTCAGGTTGACGTCGAAAGAAATACGACCTTGAGAGACCGTCACGGGTTCGAAATTACCGAACTTGTCTATCACGAACTGTTCGTTCATCTCGATCGGGCAAGCAAGGCGAACACCCTTCCACGCTGCTAAGAGCCATTCCCGTCAAAACGGAAAAGTGCAACGACGGTCGAACCGAATCGTTTTCGACCCTGCAGTACAAAAAGTTAATGCAGGGCATGATCATGGAATTGAAACAATCCATTATAGATATAAAACATAAACCAATGCATATCGGCTATCTAAGCACCATGCTGCAGGTAAAACAATGACTGAAGTTTCGGGTCCTGGAACAACCATGCGTGTGAGAAAATGCACCAGCCTTGTGATCTCCGACCTCGGGGACAAACGTGGCTTCGACGGACCCGGGGTCGAACGCAAAATATACGGTTTAGAATTAAGAAACAACACTTACAGGCGAGCGGAAGTCCGCGATGGTGGTGGTGGTAACCTAGGAGATTTAGACGATGTC